AAACAGAGTCCTCCCTGATAGTGTAGCTCTTTATGGCTTTTGTAATAAAGGGTCTGAGAATGGGCAGCTCTGAAAAGTCATTTTCCACAAGGCAGTGGTGGCGCGCACCTTTGATCCCAGCAGTTGGGAGGCAGAGGCAGGCAGATCTCTGTGAGTTCGGCGTCAGCCTGGTCTACAGAGCGAGTTCTAGGACAGTCAGGACTACACAGAGAAACCCTACCTCACAGGGTGAGAAGTCATTTTCCCAACACACAAACTGGATTAAGAGGAACCATTCTTTAGATGCTAGAAATTGTGAGGTTTGTGAGGAAGAGGTGCTGATGACAGAGACTCACCAAGGGGATGGGGTGGCTTGTTTTGTTCTGTTTTGTTTGCTGAGACAGCCAGGACTGTTACACAGAGAAACCCTGTCTCGGGGAAAAAAAATAAACTTATGGGGGTGGCACACATGCTTCAGCATTATGTGTAGAGGTCAGAGGAGAACTTTGTGGATTTGGTTCTCTGTCTCTGCCTTTATGTGGGTTCTGAGGATTCAGCTCAGGTCTCCAGGCTTGCTCAGCACCTCTAACCATTGAGCAATCTTACCAGCCTTCCCAAAGTTTCTGATTTACTAAGCTGGGGATGGGACCAAAGCATTTGCATGACTAACAAACTCCTAGGTGGGGCTCTGCTGCTGGCCAGGGATTACATGCAGAGACACACTAAAGGACACCCCCAACTGACTTGTAAATCACCCTACAGCTCAGAGACCTCTCTTCTACTATCTGGATCTTCTACCTCCTCCAGTCCTTATGGAAAACAGAGGGGCTTCCTGCTCTGGCCCAAATAGCTTGTGGTTATATATACACACCTAAGGACATTGCCACTCTAGAAAAGAAATGTAGCCTGCCCAAAAACAAACCCACCCCAAACCAGAAACGTTCTTGCCCTGCTCTTGTCTCTGAAGAATGTTTGCTTCAAGATGACAGAGGCTGGGTTGAACTGGACAGGCTGATGCAACCCATGTGTGGTGGTTTAAATGAATAAGAATGGCCTCCAGGAGCTGGAGAGATGACTCAGGGGTTAAAAGCACTGACTGCTCTTCCAGAGGACCTGGGTAAAATTCCCAGCAACCACATGGTAGCTCACAACTGTCTGAACTTCAGGATCCAATACCTTCATACAGACATACATACAGGCAAAACACCAATTAAAAAGAGAGAGAGAGCCGGGCGGTGGTGGCGCACGCCTTTAATCCCAGCACTCGGGAGGCAGAGCCAGGCGGATCTCTGTGAGTTCGAGGCCAGCCTGGGCTACCAAGTGAGTTCCAGGAAAGGCGCAAAGCTACAAAGAGAAACCCTGTCTCGAAAAACCAAAAAAAAAAAAAAAGAGAGAGAGAGAGAGAGGAGAGAGGAGAGAGGCCCCAGAAGCTCATATATTTAAATGCTTAGTTACCAGGAAGTGGCACTATTTGAAAGGATTCGGATTAGGGGGTGTGGCCTTGTTGGAGGAAGTGTGTCTGTCACTGGGTGGGCTTTGAAGTTTGCTCTCTCTCTCTGCTTTCAGATCAAGATGTAGCTCTCAGCTACTTCTGCAACACCACATCCAACGCACCTGCTTGCCGCTATCCCCTCTGCCATGATGATAATGAACTAAGCCTCTGAAACTGTAAGCCAGACAGCCAATAAAATGCTTTCTTTTATAAGAACTGTCTTGGTCATGGTGTCTGTTCACAGCAATAGAACACTGACTAAGACGCCATGCAGCAGTAGAAGCCTTCCAATTGCTCCCTTCTCCCTGAAGTCATCTGTGGGTCACCCTGAGATGGATGAGTTCTCAGCTCCCTTCTGTGTGTGGACCCAGCATACATGCCATGTCACTACATGTGGATCCATCACTACCTCATTCTGGGTGCTCTCTTGGGCAAGAACCCCATCATCCTGTCCTGCAGAGCCTGGCACAAAACGGGTTCTGGTGAGTTTCAGATTAAAACTCCAATAAAGGCCAGGCGGTGGTGGCGCACGCCTTTAAACCCAGCACTCAGGAAGCAGAGGCAGGCGGATCTCTGTGAGTTGGAAGTCAGCCTGATCTATAGAGCGAGATCCAGGACAGCCAGGGCTACACAGTGAACCTCTTGTCTTGAAAACCAGAAGAAATAAACAAATCAAACTCCAGTAACGAAGGCTGAGAATGTGGCTCAGCGGCAGAACACTGAACAGGGCCAAGCAAGTGAAAAGTCTTGGTTTCAGTCGCCAAAACTATAAGAAATAAAACTATTAATAAAGAGCCAGTGAGAGGGGTCTGGAGAGGTGGCTCAGCAGTTAGAAGCATTTGGTGCTCTTGCAGAGACCCAGGTTTGCTTCCAGCACCCACATGGCAGCTCACAACTGTTTATAACTCCAGCTCCAGGGGATCAAACATCTTTTTCTGGCTTCCATGGGTACTGCATGCATATAGTGCACATACATACATGTAAGCATGTACTCATAGTTATTTTTAAAAGAACTAGTGAGGAAGCCGGGCGGTGGTGGCGCACGCCTTTAATCCCAGCACTCGGGAGGCAGAGGCAGGCGGATCTTTGTGAGTTCGAGGCCAGCCTGGTCTCCAAAGCGAGTTCCAGGAAAGGCGCAAAGCTACACAGAGAAACCCTGTCTCGAAAAATCAAAAAAAAAAAAAAAAAAAAAAAAAAAAAAAAAAAAAAAAAAGAACTAGTGAGGGATAAAAGAAACTTTTAGCATTTTTTAAGAATAATAAAATCACAGCCTGGTGGTGGGAAAACACACCTTTAATCCCAGCACTTGGGAGGCAGAGGCAAAGGGTTCTCTTAATTCAAGGCCAACCTGGTCTACAGAGCAAGTTCCTGGACAGCCAGGTCTACACAGAGAAACCCTGTCTTGAAAAAAATAAAAATAAAATAAAACCCATATTCAAAGTTTAGGGCCAAGAGGAAAACAATCCATCTTACAGCTACCTGTTTTCCTCCGTCTCTGTGAATTTCAAGGCGCTTTGGTGGGTTCCAGTCCTGACCCCAGCCATACGACTCTGTACTGAAGGACGTCTTATAATCTTGGCTGAGGCCTCTCCATTTACCCAAGGGCCTGATTAGGTTGTTTCCATGCAGGAGCACCTAACTCCAGGGCCCTGATGCAACTGCCACAGCCTTGCCCTGGGGAGAGGGAATCAGTGCTACAAAGTGGTTTTGGCTTTTTCTTCTGGGTACCTTCAAGTCTTGATGGAGGAGCTGGAAGAAACTCTCCCAGGCCCTCAAGGTTTGGCCTTTTTGGATCCTCTGAGCTGCTCTTAATCCTTGGATAGATGTTGAGCTCAGTGATGGTACTATAGTCAGAGTGTAGTCCATGAACTAACAGCATCAGCAGCACTAGGGAACTTGTTAAAAACAAATCAGGCTGGGCGGTGGTGGCACATGCCTTTAAAAACAAACAAACAAAAAAAACCAAAAAACTCCACAAATCAGTCGGGTGTGATGGCACACGCCTTTAATCCCAGCACTCAGGAGGCAGAGGCAGGTGGATCTCTGAGTTCAAAGTCAGCCTGGTTTACAGAGTGAGTTCCAGGACAGCCAGGGCTGCACAGAGAGACCCTATCTTGAAAACAAAAAATAAAATCAGAAATCCTCAGGACTGGGTATGAGAACTAGGCTGGCCTCAAACTTGAGATCCTCCTGCCTCTGCTGCCCAAGTGTATCACCACCCCTGACTTCTTACTTCTGTTTGTAATAGTTATTATTTTCTAAATATTTGTGAGTGTGTGTCCATGTGTGTGTGCACACACACATTAGTGCAGGTACGAGAAGGCCAGATGAAGGGGTTGGATCCCCTGGAACTGGAGTTACAGATGATTGTGAGCTGCCCTGTGGGTGCTGGGAAATAAACCCAGATCTTCTGAACGAGCCGCCAGTGCTCTTGAGCACTAAGGCGTCTCTCCAGCCTCCACTGTCAGACTTTCATTGGTTTGTAGTGTTTTGTTGTCTTCAGTACTGGTAATAGAAGACTCCTTGTGAGTACTGGACAGGTGTTCCATGCCGAGGCACCTGACAGCCCCTTTCTGTCAGTTTTATTCACTGATGAATCTTTAGTGCCCCATCTCAGCCCTCAGGAGTTTAATCAAATTTTACAGAATGAATGAAAAAGTTACTTGCTCCAGATCACAGGCACCCAGAGGTGACAGTTTTCACTCTTGGAAGAGACAAGCACCTCACCCTCAGCTCTGGCCCAGAGTCCTCAGAGCCATGGCAGGTTCTCACCCCAGGACAGAGCCCACTGGCAGCCCAAGCTCAGGGGGTACCAGTGGACTCTGCCAGGACTGGGTGCTCACATAACTCACGTCCAAAGGCTGCCCTGGAAGATGGGTGGGAAAGGGGCGCCTCTGAAGGAGGGAGCCTGTTTGTGCTGGTGGGGGGTAAGGCAACCATGATCAAGACAAGAAGTCCCCTCCCCCTCATTCTTTCAGCTAGCTAAGTACAAGGGCCTGACAGCTGCTATGGCTAGAAACCCGGTCCTTCGTGACTAGTGGACTTCCCAAGGGCACAGCATGTGGAGTAGCCCATAACATCTCTGCTGCCTCAGCTGGATTGACTCCAAATCCCCTATACTCCCTTCCAGAAGAAGCAAAATGCATCCTGGCCTGCAAGGTAAGGGCTCTGCCACCTGGCGCCTTCTGGTGGTACTATTTCTTAGGGCCACAACAGAACCCTGGATCTCCCCAGCCACAGTTCTTCGCTTCTTATAGAAACGAGGATTGCAGTCACAGAGCAGAAATCCAAAGGTCAGGAGTGAAGGTGACCCCTAGCTGGACCTTGACCAGGCCCAGCCTGATGAGCCAAGGCTCATGGCGACGTGAGTGGCCATTCTACTCAGGAGCTACACTCTCCATCTACCAAAGGGGAGGCGGAAGCAAGCGCCTGCCGTCCTGAGTCTTCCTGATCTGCCCTCTCTCTCAGTCTCTAACTCAGAGGGTCTCCTGCCCAGGCCGGGTGAGATACAAAGAGGCTCAGCTGTTAGTGAAGTATGAAATGCTAATGCAGAGGACTTTTATTGAAGGCCTACTGTGTGCAGAGCACCAGGTACGCCTTTCACTTTCCTGCACTTCCTGCCAGCCAGGGAAGAGGGTGCTAGTGAGCCCCAGATGTGAAGCCAGGGAGGGGGCTGAGGTGGAGGTAGATGGAGGCAAGGTAGCCCCAGCAGTTGAGTCCTCAGAGAGGGCAGGATTCTGGGGTCTGGCCAGCTGGGAACCTGAAGGCTGAGGCCTCCCTTGTTCCTGAGCCCACTGGGCTCTAAATCTGCATGCAGAATCAAGAGTCTTGTCTTTTCACTTTGTGACATTCGGGGAATGGACTCTGTCTTTGAGTGGCTCTCCCAACCTGGGAAGGGTCCAGAGGGTGGAAGAAGGGCTTCCACCCAAGGTAACAGCCAGGCTTCTGCTGGTTCTGCCGCTCCTGTCCATTCGACCTCTCTGTTCTTGTTGCTCCTTGGCGTTCCCACTCGGACCTCGTGGGCCTGAGGCTGAGGGGGCAGGAAGAGAGAAAAGGAAAGAGCTGGAGTCAGACACAGACCCCAGCAGCGGTGGAGAGAGACAGACACAAAGACAGGATGGAGATAAAACTAGATAAATCGGAGAGGAAGAGCGGGGGAGGGGGCAGGGGAGGGGGCAGGAGGGGGAAGAAAGGGAGGGAGCTAAGAGGGTGGAGAGATCTGAGACAGTTATGCCCCAGGGGAGAAAGCCCAGGCCATGGACTGGTCCTCTTCCAGGCCCAGCCTCACCTAGAGCTCATCCCTGGGGTGAGGATGGGGGCTATATCTACTGCTGCCAGCCAGGTGCAGGTGGGGGCCACGAAGCGTCTTTTGAGAGCCAGTCCAGCTAATGAGGCGGCCACTGTCGTCATCCCAGGGGGAAGATGTCTCTGTGTCACTGAGCCATTCAGCATCTCCCGCATAGTGGGTGGGGGAGGCAAGCAGAGGCTGGACTGAGAAGGCTTGGAGGTCCCGAGGCCAGAAGTATGCCTTGTACTGGTCACTGTGAGTGAGAGGAGAAAGCTTAGGTAGACTGAAACAGCTTCTCCTAGGCTCTGTGATGCTGATCCAGAGCTGGGGCCTTGACTGCCTGCAGACCTCTGCCCTGCCCATTAGTCCTCATAGCTACTTGAGAAGTGGTACTTTTAATATCCCACGATGAGGACACTCAGGAATTGTACTGAGTCATATGATTGAGAACCACACGGACAGGGGCTGGAGAAACGGCTCAGCCTTTAAAAGCACTCACTGCTTATACAGGGTTCCAGCACCCATATCAAGTGGCTCTCTACTGCCTGTAAGTCCAGCTATAGGGGGATCTGACGCCCTCTTCTGGCCTCCTTGGACACCTGCATTCATATGCACATAACCCACACACAGATACACATAATTCAAAATTCAAAATAAATCTAAAAATAAAACCCACATGGAAATGGACAACACAGTGTTCACATCTAACTGAGCCTGACACCTGGGCAACTCTTGAGTGACTGAGGCCACGTGGGTGAACCTTGACCATCTCCCTCTCTCGGGCTGCCTAATAACATTTTTTTTGCAGTGGGCCCATGACTAGGATGACCCTGCCCTGGCCTGCCCCACCCAGGTCTCACTTCGGGTGCTGATCAAACATGACAGGCAGGAACTCATCCACAGGTAGCATGCGTCGCAGAGGCTGAGAGGCTAACAGTTTGCGGGCGCCTGCCAGACTCAAGGTGTATGCTAGTGTCCAATAGGAGTATCCAGCCACCACCAGACCAGGCAGACCCTCCACAGCCACCTCCTCCTCAGGGTTCACCTGCTTCCGGCCAAGGTAGCTGTAAATGACACCGAGGATGACAGGGGTCACTAGAGAGCCTGGCGTGTCCTGGCCCGTCCACTGCTAGGCTAAGGCCAGGCTATGCGGAAAGTGCCAGCTAGGATCCCAGCGTGAGAAGCGGACCTCCAGGGCATATTCTCTCCCCCTTGCCCCTGAGAGGCAGTCTGCCTACATCAAGTCCCACGACAGCTTCTGAGTCACCACATCCTCCATCAGCCGTTCCAGCCGCCTCCGGAAGTTGTCCTCAAAGCGTACGTCATCCTCAAACACCACAACCCTGGCCAGGCCCCTGTCAGCCACCTGTGGAACACATGACGGAGGAGAGAACTCTGCAGATTGGAGCTGCCCTGTTCCTGCCTACCTAGACCCAGGCCGGCAGACTCTTCTTGGCTAAGTACCACACACCAAGTCCTGGCCATATCATGGAACTACCCCAAAGCCTGCTGGGCCTTCCACTGCCTGGGGACTGAAATCCACCTTGCTCTGCATTCAAGGCTCTCAAGTTCCCACACCCCAGTCTATCTTACAATCACGACTTTTGCTACGTTCACTCAATACTACGCTCTCCCAGGAGCCAGTGCTCAGCCTCAAAGAAGCACAGGCTCTTGCTTTGTCATCCGAAGCTGGGGTGGGTAGGGGGTGTGAGAGATTCCAACCCCTAAAATCACCAGGAAAAGCTACTCTCTGTAGCTATGGGAAATGTGGGAAGAATGTGAAATTGGCTGGGTAAAGGGCCGACTGAGTCATCCCTCAGTTTGCTCATAGATGGTACACAGAAACAGGATCACACATGCACACACACTCCTTGGCAACTGAAGAAAAACGAGATCCATGCACACTGTCTCCTGGAGGGGGTGCCCTTGGGGACCCAGTCCCCTCCAGGTCTCAGCACTGCTGCCCCAGCCAGGACTGAAGTCAAGCGCCCAGTATGTACTCCAGGTCTTCCTGACACACCTCTCCTGGAGGAATTTGCCCATTTTCTTCCGCTAGGAAAGCTCTCCTCTCTGCCCTCCCCGCCCCCAAGGCAAGGCAGACTGACAGAACCACCTGCACCTCTCCCACAAAAAGCCGCCTTGGTTCCCTCTTCTGATTTCTGTCACCCTCAAGAGCCCCAGGTTATTTCCTTCCTTTTATGTGTGGTCACATGCTTAACATTTGGAGGCCAGGGGTCAATGCCACCTTTTTTTTTTTTTTTTTTTGAGACAGGGTTTCTCTCTGGAGCCTTGGCTGTCCTAAAACTCACTCTGTAGATCAAGCTGGCCTAGAACTCACAGAGATCCACCTGCCTCTACCTCCCGAGTACTGGGATTAAAGGTAGCACCCACCTCATTTTTTTGAGGCAGGGTCACTCACCAAACTTGGAACTTTCCATTTTATCTAGATTGGTTTGCCAGGCAAACCCACAGGATCTGTCCCCCAGCACTGGGGTTACAGATGTGCCCTGCTGTACCCAGCATTCGTGGGTACTGAAATCTGTGTTCTGGTCTTCATGTTTCCCCAGCAAGTACTTTACCACTGAGCCATCTCCCCACCCACAGAATCTCTCTCTTGTAGGGATGAGACAGACAGTTTCCTTGTCCCCTGTGTTACCAGAGAAGACCTCCTTTCAGGGAACAGCCAGTGCTCAAGAGAGACAACAGAATAAACAAGGTCACCCACCTCTCAGGGGTGCCAGGGAAGTGCTGACCACAGGGTTCAGTGAACCTTCTGTTTGGATGGATTTTTCACTCAGCCACTCCCACAGCAGTGACTAAGACAGCCAGCCTCGGCTGCCCCTGACGGGCACGGGCCAGAGGGCAGGTATCCTCACCTCTTCCCAGATGGAGTAGTGGCTGAGGAAACAGCCCACCTCACCCTTGGTCAGTGTGCGGCCCGAGTAGGGGTCCTGGTAGCCAGGGAGCAGGTCCACACCCAGGTGCTTAAGGATACTGCTGTTGAGTGTCCTGTGAGACACAAGCATAAGTGGGTGACAAGTGCCAACCAGAGTCTCTGTCCAGAGGGCCCTCGTCTGTATGTGTTGGAGAGGATCACACGGGAACCTGGTTAAAGGAGGATCCAGCTTGTAACTCCTTCGTGTGGCCTGGAGCTGTCATGGACTGGGCTCGGCCTCTAGCCTTAGAACTCTAGCCCCCTTCAGGAAGCCTCGGGAGAACGGACTCATGGAATCTGTGTAGGCGGAGGCTCCCCGGGATGAGTGGACAATCTGTTAGAGATTTTCTGCATCAAGGCCCAGTAAAGGACAGACACCCTACAGGGCAGCCAGGTATAACAGTGCAGGCCTGTAATCCAAGCACTTGGGAAGCAGAGGCAGGCAGATCTTTGTGCATCTACATAGTGAGTTCCAGGCCAGTCAGGGCTGTGTGAGATCCTGTATTGAGAGGGAGGGAAGGGGGGAAGGAGGAAGGAGGGTAGACAGATAGAACAAAACAACTCTTGGTGCACCTGTGTGATTCCAGGTCTTGGGAGGTAGAGGCAGAAAGATCAAGAATTCCATGTCATCCTCATTTATACAGCAAGTTCGGGACCAAACTTAGCTACATGAGCTCCTGTCTCAAAAAACCCAGTCAAGGGCCAGTGGGATGGTTCAGTGGGATACAGTGTTCAACCCAAAATCCTGAGAATGTGAGTTCAATCCCAGGTCCCACTGTGGAAGGAGAGGATAACTCCCAAAACGTGCCCTCTGGCCTCTACGGGAACACTGTGGCATGTGTGTGCCCTCATACACACACACACACAATTAAATAAGTTTGAAAATTTTCTAAATAAACGCCAAAAGAATAATGGGGGAGTATGGTCAAAGCATATTATTTATGTCAAATTGTGATATATATATAATACATATATTATATATAAGAACAAAACATATACACAGAATGTGTGTGTGTGTGTGTGTGTGTGTGTGTGTGTGTGTGTGTGTGTGAACAAAAAGGACTTGGAGGTTTGAAGCAAACAGCGGTTGGCATATGGGCCACGTGACCCAGGTAACAGTTGTTGTTTGGCCTCTGGATCCCCCTGGAACACAGCCACACTTCTTGCACACTCCACACTCTGGCTCCTCAGGGGCCTAACTCTAGCACAGAGAACATTCCTCAGGCCGTCTACCCCTTGGAGTACTTTATAGGAGTTGGATCCTGCCTACGTGTCTCATTGAACCATCAGGACCACAAGAACCAAGCATGATTATGTACTTTTGTGAGGCTGAGGGATGGGACAGCCTGTGAGAGTTCATACAACTGGTATGTGGCAGCCCTCAACCCGGCCCTGGAGTCCTCTGCACTGCACTCTGCTCCCTAGGGTGGGCTGAGGGAGGACGTCCCGTCTCATCCTGTTGGCCTGTGCTGGCACTCCTGAGACAGCAGGACGCAGGTCCTGTGTGGCTACCTCCTGGGTCTTTAGGACGCTCATTCAACTGGCCTGCCCGTCCAAGATCTCAGATGGGTTTCATGGCCCCCGAGCCCCATCCGTGGGAGCCTCACCTGCCATCCACAGCATCGACCACTTGAGCAGAGATCTCCATCTCCCAGAGAGAGCTCAGCATCCGAGCCCGGCGCTGGGGTCTGCGGGCCAGGCTGATGACAAAGACCTAAAAGACGCAGAGGTAAGCCTCGGGAAGGATTACTCATCCACCCCACCCCAATCCCACACGTTGGAGACTTACTTCATCAAATCCCATCTTGTTGGGCTTCTTTAGAGGCCGAGACACATGAGCTGAGGCCAGCATGGGGGGCCCATCCACTGTAAAAGGAAAGAACACCCCCAACCCGCAGGCATGAGTCCTCCTGGCTCCTGGTCACAGACACCCTGGAGTCCGGCCCCAGCTCCATTCCTATCACTCCAGCAGAACACCTAACAGGACAGACTCCCTGAGCTCCTACCCATTGTACAGATCAGGAGACTGAGGTACCACAGGGAGAAGGGCTTGCTCAATGCTGTAACACAAGTTCAGAACAAGGTTGGCACCCAAACATGCCTAAATCCACGCCTAGGAAAGGAGCATTGTGGGAAGGCGGGGGACCCCATCCCTCACCTAGTGCTTCCAAAATCAGGTGGATGAAGTTGGCCTTCTCTTCTTCCAGCCCCTGGTGGGCCTTCACCGCCACATTCATGTACCCGTAACGATGGTCATTGCACACATGCACTGAGACCCCTGCAGAGAGGCTACCTGAGTGCTGGAGCTGGAGTGAGCCTCTCAGTAGACACTGCAGTGACCCAAGGCTTGTCTGGGACTGTTCTGCCACAGTGAGGAGGGCACTGGACCACATCTCCAGCAGTTTTCGTCTTATTTGTCTACACCCTGAAGACTTCTCTAGCACCTCATGGACAAAACAATAAGCACCCTGGGACACATGGCTTGCTTGAGGATTTAATAGGCACCTCTAACCCTCTCTGACCCTCAGTAAAGTTTTCCCATCACCAGATCATCAGAGCCCTTAGCTACACCTCAGTCTGGGTTCAGATCCTTCTCAAGCAGGGTGTCCAGCATCACTGCCTTAATCTTATCTCCAGCTCTTCCTTGTTGGGGTTGTTTTTGGTAGGGGAAGGCAGACTGAGAGACAGGATCTCACTTCGTAGACTTGGCTGACCTGGAACTACCCATGTAGCCTCGGCTGGCCTTGAACTAATAGAGATCTTGAGGAGGGGAGGGGACCAGCAGGTACAAAGGCCTTGGGGCATCCAAGGAATGCTAAAGGAGGCCTGGTCCTCACCAGCAGCCTGGCAGGCATAGGCAAAGACGATGATGTCATCAAAAGGCCAAGTATAGTTGGGATGAGGCGGGTAGAAGGCAAGCCGGGCTGTTTCCTCAGTCTTCAAGGACACCAGGAAGGTAGAGTGGACCATCGGGACCCGGAAGCAGCCCTGGCGCTGGCGGTTCTTGGTAGGGAAGTATTCAGCTGTGCGGCGATAGTAGCCCTGAAGGAGGGAATGTTTGGGGCTGGGGCCAGGCCTGTCCTGGCCAAAGGCCCTGAAGCCTCAGGCTCTGTGCTCCTTGAGTCCATCCCCCAGCCTCACCTGTGGAGTGATCCCACACCAGAAGTTGGAATAATAGGTCTGGGAGTCCAACATTGGGGCCACCACTGGCAGGTGCCGCTCTGTGAGAAGCCGCAGTGTCTGGTTGTTGGTGAGAATGTTGTCTGTGTCTGCGAACTTTGGGGAAGGAAGATGTCACAAGGAAACCTGTCTGAGCCTCAGGACCAAAGAGCTCACTGAGTAGGAATTCCTTCAGAGTAACTCTGGGCACATGTACCCCAGAGAGCTCTAACCAGGACCAGAGAAGTGGCTAGAGAGGTAAGGGACTTGCTGCCACGCCTGACAACCTGACTTCAGTCTCGAACCCACGTGATAGAAGGAAGGAACCAAGTCATCAAAGTTGTCCCCTGACATCCACATACCATGGTGTGCACACATTTGCACACCTATACACAGGATACAAATAAATAGTGCAGGGGGTCCTAATCAACACAGTCCATTTCTGACAAGAGGCTGTTCTAAGACGCTGGCTTGGAGTAGAGCAGGGAACAGATCTGAGGATCTAATCTGAGATTTAGCTTAGAGGGTTGACCCAAAGAACCACTCTAAGAGGACTGGGGAGGTGACTCAGTGGTTAAATGCACCGCTGGCTCTCCCAGGGGACCTGAGTTTGAAACCCATCAATTGTATAGTGGCTCACTACTGAGGGTAGCTCCATTTCCAGGGGATCTGATGTCCTCTCCTGGCCTCTGTGGACACTGCATGCATGTGATGCACAGACATACATGCAGGCAAAACACCCACTTTCATAAATCAAAAATAAGTCTGGGGCAGTGGTGGCACACGCCTTTAATCCCAGCATTTGGGGAGACAGAAACAGGTGGATCTCTGAATTCGAGGCCAGACTGGTCTACAGAGCAAGTTCCAGGACAGCCAGAGCTACACAGAGAGACCCTGTCCTGAAAAACCAGACAGACAGATAGATAGATAGATAGATAGATAGATAGATAGATACATACATACATACATACATAAATGAAACAAAAATAAATATTAAAAAAATCTACTCTGTGCTCTAGTCCTGGGATCCAGGCTCAGTATATACTCTAGACAAAAGCTCAAGAATCTAGGCCCAGCATATAACCTAAGATCTGTCCAAGGAGATAGGCTTGGTATCTAGTATGAGCTTAAATACAGGGTCTAGGATCAATCTCCAAAAGATCCAGCCTGGTGGTTTGGTCATAACCAAGACTTTGGGGGCCGATACCAATGCCTCCCACCTAATCCCAGACCAGGCTGCCTCACCAGGATGTAGTCAGCTCCCCAGGCCCTGGCAAAGGTCAGGGCTTCCTGCTTCAGCTCCATCAAATACTGATGCCTTTCTTTGGTCCAGTGCTTGGGACTCTGTTCATCTGGGTAGGGCCTGAGTGCGGAAAGAGGTGAGATGTTCTCTTAAGGGAGGAACCTCTCTTTCTCTGCAGGGCTGAGGACACAGCCCTGCTCTGGGGGCTGTGACACTGGGTAACAGCTGTTCTCCATCTCTTCCAGCACCCTTGCCCTCCGGTTACCACCTGGCCTCCTCCTCGGGCTTCCAGACCACGGCAGCATAGTCACGGCCCACTGCAGCCAGCCACTCCTGTAGCATCTCTGTGGTGTTGTCCACGTTGTGGTCTGTGGCACACCTGTGAGCACAGGATAGAAAGACTGAGGGACCACAACCACAGAAGGTCTGGACCCCCCGGGTGCTCTTGACTTTAAAGTGCCTTTGGACACCCTCAAGTCTGGTCTGTCTTGAGAGCAACGGAAGAGAGGTGTGATACAGTGGACATGCTGGAGGAGGTGCTGTGTGATCTCAGACAAGTTCCTCACCTCTCTGTGCTTCACATCCTCCCTTCTAACTTTTGTACTGGGGGATTGAACCTAGAGACTTGTACATGCCAAGCAAGCCCTTGACCACTGAGCCACATCCTCAGTCTGAGTAACACTGTGAAAGATGCACTTGACCTTAAGGATCGCACCTGCTACATCACCTCATTTTCTTCCGTCTTCATGGCACCACAAGCCAGGCCCTTTCCATCTCCGAATCAGACAGAAAGAGTCACTGCCTTCCTCTATCCTGAGCTGTGATTAGGACTACATCATGCTCTGAGCACCCCTGAGAAGTGCTGGTGCGGAGCTCTGCTACCTTGGGGCACAGCTTTCCCTCTGTTGGGGAAGGGGCTCTCATAATGGGGGTGGAAAGTTTAGCCAAGAGCCCAGGTTTTAGGCGATGCTGCCCCTTTAAGCCAATTCCTCAGAAGTGAAGACTAACTACGTGTCAAGTCCTGCAAGGGTGGGAACTAATTCCCAAACTGTGGTGGCTGTGGGCAGCCTCCCCAGGCCACAGCTCCACCCCAGCCCAACTTTGGAGTGCTGTGAGGAGCAGTTTATCTCTAGCCTCAGCTTGGGCTCCTCCCTGTTTAGGCTTTTATAGACAGACTGCTGTAGCCTCTGAGCCCAGCGACCAGCCCCCCCCCGCCCCCCCCCCCCCCCCCCCGCAGCCCCTGGCTGTCAGATCCCAGCAGCCCCTCTACCCAGAGAGGCTGGCGGTATTCCTGGAGAGGGGACTCAGCCTGACACCCCTGCCCAGCATGCAGCCTGGAGTTAAGGGCTCTCTCCACCTGCTCCCTAGAAACCTCCAGTCTGACTGACCCTTGCCACGTTGGGCCCCTGGGGATTCCAGAGGTTCCCGCCTGTTCTACTCCAAATCAAGCTGACCACAGGTCCCCACTGAGATGCATGCGAGCTCCAAGGGCTGGGTCAGGAAGGACCAGTCTAACTTAAACCTAGGGTAAGCCGGGGACGAGTAGAGGGCCCAAAGGAGGGTTGGGTGTCCCTGGGCTGACCCATGGCCTCAGAGGTCTGCCCTTGCCCCTTGAGGGCTTAGGGACCCTGCTGAAGGGCTTGAGGCCCCGCGGGCATGTCTGGGAGGGAGGAGCTTGCTCGGGTGGTGTCTGGGCAGCAGCGATGAGGCCTCCTGGTCAAAGGCTGTTCTGTATCCTGGGGCTTGATGCCCCGATGTGCCCACCCATGGATCTCTCACCAGAGGGCCAGCCTGGCCCGGGGATAGTCCAGGCGCTCCAGTGCGCCCAGGTAGTGAGGCAGAGAGTGTTCGGCATTGCGGGCCAGGATAGCAAGGACCACAGTGGGCAGCATTGACTCCATGAC